TGACGGTCAAACTTGACTTATATTTTAAAAAGGATCATAATTTTTAGCCTAATCTGACCTTACGTTAGGTTAATCTGGTTAACAAGTCAAATTTTATTTGATTAAAAATTTAAAAAAATTGACTCATTTATACCAAAATAATTAATTAAAAAATATTTAAATAAAAATATATATTTTTAAAATTTAAATTATATTAATATATTAGTTTTTATTTAAGATATCATGATTTAATATATAAATTATAAGAAATTAGATCCCTTCAATCTCATAATAAGAGTTAAAAACATACTTTTTGTTATCATTATTCTTATTTTAGTAATTTATTAATTTAAAATAATAATTAATCTTAACTATTAGATTTTGGAATAAGAACTATTAGAAACTTACTCTTATAATTAAGTGAACACTACAAGAAAAATATTAATTACCGATGAGATATTTACTGACGAATATGTAGTTGTCGATAAATTAAAGATTACCGATGGATATTACCGACGGATATGAAGTAATTGTGAAATTTGGTCTTACCAACGGATATATCTATCGGTAAATGAATAATTAATTTTCGACGGATATATTCGTTGGTAAATTAACCATTATTTACCGATGAATACTTAGCCGTCGAAAAATGAGTGATTACCGACGAACATTACTGACAGATTGAAAGTATTTATGTAAAATTAATTACCGACGAATATATCCTTCGGTAAATTAACAAAATTATTTATCTCGTCAGAATATTTATTCTTGTCCCTGAATTAACCTAAATTACCCGAACTCAACACATTCCCATCTTCTCCTCCTGAATCCCTTTCAGCAGCCTCCATATTGACGTGTCTAGCCACCCTCACCAACCGACCACCCAACTACAGTCACCGCACCACCTAATGACGTTGACAACCACTCACCATCTCCTTCAATCGAATCCTAGCGTGGGAAACGTCCACCACTAACCGCGATCGCCTCCCTACCCATCCACTGACCACGAAATTCACAGAACACCGTTTGTTTTACTCTCCTGGTCACACAATCCACTTTGATTTCTCGAATATTTATTGCGAGAAAGAGAAGAAGAACAATTCAAGGTCTGGTACTGTGTTTCTATTGAGATTTATTCTTGTCCCTTCATATTCTTCCTTATCCATTCTTTGTTTATTGCAATTCGCTACATTATAAAAATAAATTATTTAATATAATTGTTAAGATATATAAATATATTTTTTTATTATATTTTAGGTAAGCATATATTTAGTTAAAAATTAGATTTTTAAATATATGTATGATATTATTAGTTTACCTAATGAGTTTTCTAAGATTACGATTTGTACATTGTATTTATTCCAAGTCGATGAATAAGATCAATTGAGGAAAATATTCTTTTATGGTATCATATTTCTAGCAATTACGCTTCTTCTTCTTCGTTCCCCTTCATCTATCTTCATTTTTTTTTCTTCTTCTCACTCGTCATGATGGACAAGAGTTATTTTCATCACTCTTGAAATGGAGAATGTCCAATACTCTACATGGGCGGAACTTTTTAAAATTACCGCACGTTCTCATAAGATCCTTCATCACATTATTCCTCCTGCTAATGACAAAGAAAAGGTACCTATGACTGAGGGTGAAAAGAAATTATGGTCGACTCTTAATGTTAAGGTTTTTTCCTGACTTTATGCAACCATCTCCAATTACCTATTGCATACAATTATTGAACCTAATGCCACGACCATGTATGCTTGGAATAGGTTGAGAGATATTTTCCAAGACAACAAACATTCTTGTATGTCTCGTGTGGTAACTCTTGAGGCCGAATTCTCCACTACTAAGATGGAGAATTTTCCAAATGCTTCAGCATATTGTCAACGTCTCAAGTCCCTTGCTGATCAGTTGAAAAATGTTGGAGCATCGGTGTCAGAGAGTCGCCTCGTCATTCAACATGTTTCGGGTCTCACAAGCATATATTGCGGTGTAGGGACGTTAATTCGACAGAATAATAACCTACCTCCGTTTTATCAGGCTCGATCGATGCTCACACTTGAGGAAGCCGGATTGGCAAAGGAGACTGCCATGGGATCAGAGTCGGCAATGGTGGCTGCCTCCTAATCCACTTATGACTCAAATTCCTCACATTCGGACAAGCTACACCACCAGTAACACCGTGGGAAGTCGTCTGGATATTGCAAAAATTCTGGAAAAAAAAAATGGTGGCGGTGGTCGCGGGTTTGGCTGTGGCAAATCCAGCGGTACAGGGGGTGACAGTAGTGGTCCGCAACAGTTTTGTGGGAGTCCACAACAACAACCATACTGGGAGTCTTTACCTTGGTCGAATTACGCACCTTGGGGTTGGATGCCTCAATGGGCTCCTATATGCCCATATCCAAACTAGGGGTTGGGCATGAGGTCCAGCACCATAGAGACAACAACAATAGCCCGACGTTCTTGGGTCACGCCTACAACAGGCTTACATGGTCTCTCAGAATGGGCAATCCACTTCTGATATTCCTACAAATATTAAAGCGGCGATGTATACTATGTCTCTAAGTCCCCCTAATCCATCATGGTACATGGACACCGGAGCTACCTTTCACATGACATCTTCCAATGCCCGTCTTGTAAGTAATGGAAAAAATCAATAGGTTGACGTTGATTATGGCAAAACTTTTAGCCTGGTAGTGAAACTGGCTACGATTCACACCGTTTTTTCTATTTCTCTTTCAAAGGCATGTCCCATACATCAATTGAATGTCAAAAATGCTTTTCTTCATGGTGAGCTACAAGAAACAGTTTATATGCATCAACCATTGGGGTATCATGACCGTACTCATCTGAATTATGTGTGTCGTTTGCGTAAGTCATTATATGGGCTTAAACAAGCACCTTGTGCTTGGTATAAGCAGTTTGCTAATTATGTCGTGTCTATTGGTTTCTCAAATAGCAAATGTGACCACTCATTATTTATTTATCGAAAGGGTTCGCACATGACTTACATTTTGCTCTATGTTGATGACATTATTCTTACTGCCTCTTCTCATGCTCCGATTATATATTATGAACCTTTTGAGCTCAGAATTTGCTATGAAAGATCTTGGTCCTTTGAACTATTTTCTTAGCATTGTAGTGACCTGGTATAAGGGTGGTATGTTCCTTTCACATCACTAGTGGAAACCATTGATTTTGAGGGGGTCAAATAATATATTATTAATAAATAATAACTAAATATAAAAGGGTAAAAGAAGATGAAAAAGTGAGAGGATAAAATTGTAAATGTATAAATAAATATATTAAATGATCATTAAGTTTAAGGGGACAAAATAATAAATTATATGAGAGTTAGGAGTGATGAGAAGATAAAATTATAAATATACAAGTAAATATATTAAATGATCATTAAGTTTGAGGGAACCAAAATCATAAATTACATGAGAGTTACAAAACTTTAGGAGGGTCACGGCTCCTCTCAGCTCCCAAGAAGATCTATCACTGCACATCGCAAATATGTCGAAGCAATTATTGGTCATTATGTCTTCTTGCAAGTCGTCTCCAACACCGGTTGGTAAGGTGTGCTTATATATGCATGATTCGAGGGTGGACCATACGCAAGCTCTCAAATGCATTATCCGGTATTTACAAGGTACACTTGATCTTGGTCTTCATCTTAATTCATCTTTGACCTTATCTCTTGTTTCTTATACTAATGTTGATTGGGGTGGATGCCCTGATACGAGACGTTTTACCTTGGGTTACTGTGTGTTTTTGGGTGACAACTTGGTGTCATGGTCCACCAAGTCATCTACACTCTCTCGATCTAGTACAGAGGCCGAGTATAGGGGTGTTGCTAATGTGATTTCTGAGTCGTGTTGGCTTCGAAATTTATTATTGGAATTGCATTGTCTGGTTACCAAGGCTATTCTTGTGTATTGTGACAATATTAGTGTTATCTATTTGTCGGACAACTCGGTGCAACATCAACTTACTAAACATATTGAGATTGACATACATTTTATACAGGAAAAGGTTGTATGTGGTCAGGTTTGAATTCTTCATGTGCCTTCACGATATCAGATTGCGGACATCTTTACTAAGGGACTTCCGCATGTGTTGTTTGATGATTTTAGAGACAGACTCAAGTGTTCGTCATCCTCCTACTTTGACTGCGCTAGTATGTTAAGATATATATAAATATATTTTGTTATTGTATTTTAGGTAAGCATATATTTAATTTATAATTAGTTTTCTAAATATATGTATGATATTGTTAGTTATCTAATTAGTTTCCTAAGATTACAACTTGTATATTATATTTATTTCAAGTTAATAAAAGAGATCAATTGAGGAAAATATTCTTTTAATAATTATTAGTAAAATTATTGATATTACCCATTAATAAAAACAATAAACTAAAAAATATATACCTATGGTAATTTTGATTTTTTTTATATTTTAAAAACTAAAAACTGTTTTTAAAAATTGTAAACAATAGTCTTAAACTATTATTTTTTATACAAAAAATTCTTTAAATTTTCTATTTTGAACTTTAGTTTTAAATTTTATAACTTTCTTATTTAAATTTTAATAAATTTCACTTTTAAATAAAATAAGGGTGATGACTAAAACTCTACTGCAAATAAAAGATAGATATTTTTTATTAAAATAAATCAATAAATGTATATTTATTGTAAATTCAGAAAAACAAAAAAAAGTGTCATCTGTCATTAGAGAATAATATAATTTTTTCAATTACTGACTTGTTAATAAAGCAAGGGTGTTTTTTTCACTAGTTCATCTCATTCACTACTTCTACTTTTATTTTTGTCCTAGAAAAACCTAGTTAAACATGTTTGAAGGACAAAATAAACATTTGGCTAGAACAACGTTTTATTGCAAACTAAGGATAATCATTAGAGGTTCCGTGCTTTAGATGTTTCACCATTAAATCTCATAGAATTGAAGAAAATAGGAAGCAAACACTGTTCTACTCTGCAAGTTAAGTCCTAGTCTGTTTAACTTGTGAGAGATTCACTACAATCTTCACTTAAGCATGGGGAAGAAGGAGGGGGAAACCCTATGTTATCATCACCAAATTCCACTGTAAAATCCATGATAGTAGCTTTGACATCATCAACTTTGCTGCTCCTGGAGGGTTTCTCATGAGATGTTTTTGTCTTCTTTTTCTGAAATATCACATATACAGCAAAATCTGACACTGGCATCTGCAGTAGAATTGATAAATTCTCAGGTGGTCAAACATTGGAAAACGAAACAATAATGCAGCTTTGACACAGTATCCTATGAGGAATAAAATCTACACCATACAAATTTGAGAATTGATTAAGATATTTACAGTTATGAATTATTAGGATCAAGGTGGCACAATGCGAGGAGGAAAGAGGAAAAGGGTGAATGTACACAAAGGTTTGAAAAATATTTTCTAATTTTTTAATTATTATAATAACAAATAATTAAATGAAAAATGTTAAAACAATAAATAAATTTATTTAAAATTAATAAAATAATATTTTAATTAACCCAATCAATCTTGTATTTTTTATTAATTTATTTTTACTTTTGACTATATTTTTTTCAAATTTTTTTTTCATTTTTATACTTCAAATTCACCTCCAATTTAAACACAAGTTATTTTTCATTTCTTGAAATTATTTTAATAGAGGATTGATTTTAACTATTAAGTTTTAAGAAAATAAATGTTTTGACAACGAAGTATTTTGTTTTTTGTTTTAGATTCTTTGAGTCCCTCCCTTTAAAAGAATTAAATTGAATTATTTAAAAGTATAAAAAATTAAACAGTAAGAATTCCACAAATGTTACACATGATTAAACCAAAAATTATTTTAAAATTTGTTATTTTTTTTACTAAGAGTATATAGTTGTGAACTCATTGGAGTAAATGATATATCATTATCCATTATTTATGCATTAATGTTGCTTGATAATTTTCTAATAATAATATTACCCAAGCATGGGAAAATAAAATTATGAATAGCAAACTAGAAACTAAAAATTCTGAAAATTATGATTTATAGGAATGATTAAAAATATATTTGGTTTTCATAAATATTCATAGAAATATATATAGATTTTTTAAATATTAAAAAAATGTATTATTTCTATCTTAATCTCTATTTACTACATTAAATAATCTAATAAGATTAACATTATATATTTATGATAACAGAATATTTTTTAAATTAAAAAATAAAACTCCAATCTCTTAATTTTGGCAAAAAACATCATACAAACATGAGATTTTCTAAAAATATTATCTTTCAAAACCTAAATAGAAGTGGAAAAAAAAAACACATATTCTCAATTAGAAAATGCTAAAACTCAGAATTTTCAAGAATAAAACAGTCTCCTTGAAGGTCCTATAAATAAAAAAGTTACACAGAAAGCTACCAAATATTAAATAAATAATTCTCAAAAGTCTCATTAAATTTGTGTTTACCTGGCGTGGGTAGTGAGTTACAAGACGCAATTGGTGCATGACCCAACGAGTTCTCGTGTGATGGGACCCTTTGCAAAAAACCAGTGTTTTCTTCATTCCAATCACTTTGTTACTTTCACAAAGCATTATTTGTTTTTCTTTTCCAACACATTTCCAACAACCAGAGCCAGTATCTCCCTTGTTCATGATTCCACAATTGCTAAAAAAGTACCTCTTTTCCCTCAAATCACCTACAAGTACAAGTAACCAAAAATAGTCCATCTTGTTTCAACTCTTCATATTTTCCATTTCAAGATTTCTAAGAGATAATTATACCACACTAATTGTCAAAATTCACTACTGAATATGAAAAGGGTAATAGAAATTTCTTGTTGATAACTGGCAAAAAAAAAACTGTATCTGATAACAAGATGCTGAATTAGTATATTATTGTGTTACCTTCAAAAGTCTCTTACAGTTCAGACAACACAAAACTTTAAACAAAATTATTAGATAAACCAAAATTTTAAAATTGTTGTTTTTCTAAAAAAATAACTGAAACAAAAAAAATTGGTACCAACCTGGAAGCCGCCATGGCTGAGTCTGAAACACATCACACTCTGAAACGACTGAAGCAGGCAATTGCTGAGCAAAAACCTTCTTCTTGAGGTAGTAAAAGAGAAGCTCCTCATCAGTTGGACAAAACCGGAACCCAATCGGCAATTTTATGCCCCCTTTCTCAACAAAGCCTTCAAGGTTTGCCATCTCTCAAAGAAAAGTAATGAATGTTAGAATCTCCTCTAAAGTGATTATTTTTACATCAAAGGACCACGACAAGAACAAAAACAAAGGATAATTGGGTTGTGGAATGGTTTTGGTTGCAAAGGTCTCACATTTATAGAAGCAATTTCGAGAGAAAAAAAAGTCAAAGAGAATGATACGTCTATCTTTGACCAGAAACGGTCATTTTTTTTTTTTAATGACTAATTTAGAAAGAAAGATGTATCATGGTCATATTAGATTAAATGTATTTTCAAAATAATTTTAAAAATATAATTGAATGTCAAATTGATTTTAAACCTTATTTATATACTTATGATTATTATAAAATATATTCAGGAGACATCCTTCCAAACTTATTTATTTATATACTTATGATTATTACAAAGTAGATCGAGGAGACATGTTTGGTAGAATGACTTGACTTTATTTTTTAAATAAAAAAATTCTCTGTTTATTGTTGAAATTATGTGTTAAATTAGGAATAATCATATTTAATATAATTATAAGTCAATTTAAAATAATTTTGGAATAAGGGTAAATGTTGTTATCAATCAAAATAGGCTTAATTATAATTTTGGTCCCTAATTTTATTTTAAATTTTAGCATCTTAAATTTTAATTATTTGTAATTTCATATAATATTTGTAACTGAAAAGAGGATGAATTACTATTATAATGTTTCATATAATCTTTTAAACATGCTCAAATTCAATAAGAAAAAATATATGACCTGAGTAATAGTATATATTAAATATCTTGATACATGTAATAATCTTAATTAAAGACAAGATTTTCATGTCATTTCCATATGAGATCTTCGACTTGGATATTACTATACCTGAAAAAATAATATATATATATATATATATATATATATATATTAATTTTATTTTCAAATTAAAATATCAAACATACTTAATTGTTTTCAAGTCATATGTTTTTTTTTTTTTTAAAGTTTTATGTTTTTTTGTCGTGTAACGTTTAGATTGTAGTTGTGGAAAAAACATATACAGTAATATCCGGTTTTGGTCAAGAAGCATGCTCTGGTTACAGTGTACTTCACGTGTACCACGCTCCGAAATTGGTTTCCGAGTAAAAGTTAGTACATGCTAGTCCACTCGGTCTTTTGACTTCAACTCGTGTTCCTCTTGATTTTGGGGTTTGGTGTTTACACTGAACAAGTCAGAGTTGGCTCAGCTTATTAAACAACTACTTGCATTCCTTTTAGGTTAGGTCATTAATAAGAAATAAGAATATTGATTCTCTATTACTCTTAAAATTGTTTCAATTGTAAGAAGAAAATAACAACTCCAATTATTTATTAGTCATCTAAAATTATTTTATATAAAATTTAATGTTTACAAGTTATTTTATCATAATTTTTATAAGAATATTATTTTTAATTGGTAACATATATATAAATATTTGTAATTAATACAATTATTTTTTATTTTTATATATTATTAATTATTTTATTAAATTTTTAATCATCATTATTAAAAAATAATTAATTTTTATATTACATTATATATAAATTTAATTGTCATGGAATAATAATATATGTAATTTTTTTTATCACATATTAAAACCATATATATATTAGTATATACATCCTGTACAAAATAAATTTATCTTTAAATAAGAATAAAAGGAAAGAGGATGGGTGGTCAGGTAAAAGAAAAGTTAAGATTTTATTAAAAAAAATTATAACCCTTGAAAATAATATTTATGACCTTTTAATATTAATTTTCTAGTTTTTATTTTATTTTTAACAAGAATGATTAAAAATTTAACAGAATAATTAATATTATAGAAAATTAGATAAATATTTTGATTATATTAAATATAAATATTTATAATACAAAATTATTTATTGAAAGCTCATATGTAAAGTGTGATTACCAATGAACAATGAATGATTTCATAATATATATCCCAGGAGAGGAGAGGGAATGACCGGAGGCAGCAGTGCCGAGGTTACTTATGGCAATTAAATATATATATATATATATATATATATATATATATATATATATATATATATATATATATATATATATATATATATATATATATATTGCGCATATATAAGCGGAAGAACAAAGAAGTGATAATAAAGAAGAGAAGAATTTATTTATGAAAATTATGCTTACAATATTTAATATTTGATGAGAAGAGAAGGGAAGATTGAGAACTTAGACTATGAAGGAGTTGGTCGAGGAATGTAGAGTTTAAGGCTCCAAGAGAATCTGTTTCCAATTTTTAATGTAGCTTTTATATGCCATTTTTGTTGTAGAATTTTTAGTTGGTTAACCTTCTCGGAAGTTGATTCATTATTTAAGATATTCTTATTGTTTATGATATTCATTTTTTCTTCTTGTATTTCATTTTTTATTTTTAATTCTACTAATTGAATTTTGATTTCTTTAATCTCTTCTTTTAGATAGCTTATTTCTTTTTGTAAATCTTGTAAGTTTACAGGTTTTTCTTTATCTATTGCTTTTCTTAATATTTTAGAAAAATCATAACCATTTACTTCAGGTTAAACTATTTCTGTTTCCTTTTCTTTTAATATTAATGTTTTTAATTTTGTTAAATATTCTACCTTATCTTCTTCATTTGGAAGTTTATCTATCATTTCTAGAGCTATTTTAGTTTCTATAGTTAAGACATTAATATTAAACATACAGTCACAATTTTCTTCATTCTCATCTTCACTTAAATTAGTAATAGGTTCATCTTCACTACTGCTAGGCTCTATTAAATTATTAATTTCTTCTTCTGACTCATACAACAATATTTTTGCTATTTGATTTTTAGTTTCTTCATTCATATCTAAATTTTGTATTCTTTCTCTTACTCTACAATCCTTTTTCATATGTCCGTATCTTCCACATTTATAACAAACTATTCCTTTTTTAGGATTAGACTGATTGTTACTTGTAGATGGATTTGTTCTTTTTTTTCTTTTAAAATTTCTAGGGCTATTTCTATTATTATTTTGAGAAAACTTTCTTTTAATTATTTGTTTCTTCTTATTTTTTCTAGAAGGGGGATCCAATTTTTCGTATCCATATTGTACACAGAAATCTCCTAATTCTTTTGTACCACTTTCTTGTTGTCTTTTAATTTATTTTTCTAGTTTTAGATTATTACATATTTCTAAAGCAGTGTTTTTAATGGTGGAGATTATTTTTCCGTAGGTTATTTCTTGTAAAGGTTCTGCATATTTTTGGTCTAGTTTTTCTCTTACTTTTATGGCGAACACTGGGGGTAGTCCTGCAATAAATCTTTCTTTCCAAAAGGTTTCTTTACAGTCTGTTCTGGTCATTACCATAATTATAAAATTATCTACGTACCATCTAAAATCTCCTAAAGTGGGACATCTTAAATTATGAAGCAGGGTACTTGTTTTTTCTTCAAAGGTATTAGAATCTCCCATAAAATTATGAATAATTGATATTATTAATGTTTCTACCATTAAGGGTATTTGATTATTTCCTTCTTGTTTTACTGCCATTAAAATAAATCTTCTTTGATCTGCCGTTAAATAATTTTCCCACCATCCCTTTAAGGAGCCCGTAAATCCTAGGATTAATAATTGTATTGTTTGTTCTTCTGAGTTTTTTGCCCTATAAGCTGAGGCAGTCATGGCCATTTCATTTGTTTTTCTTAGTAATTGATAATCGGTTAGTCCATCTATGTTCCATTCTGTTATTCTCGTTCCATTAAAGGCGGATGGACTTTCTAAATTCCATTCTTCGAATTGTATGTCTGGCAGAGTGGGTCTTCTATAGTAATTTCTAGTGGTTGGCATATTATGGGTGGTTGGACTTGTATTAAATTTATTTCCTATTCTATTTATGATTTCGTCATAATCTATATGTTCAAGGTTTCCTAATTCTTCTTCGAGAATATCTATTACATTTAGTTTTCTTACATTTAATTGTTCTAATTTTAAATTTATTTCTTCTAATATTCTGTCTGATTGATTTCCTGTTTTAAATTCTTTATATTCTTTATCAGATAATCTTATAGGGTTTATTAATGATTTTTGTAAGTCAGTAATTCCTAATGGATTTTTATTACTTGGAGAACTTTCTTCTTCAATAGTTTTTTGAGCTATTTGGTGTAATATTTGATTTGTAAAATTTAATTGACTGTGTAAATTTTGAATATCATTTATATTAGGCGTATCATTGCTATTTCTTTTTTCTCCTATCATTTTAAAGGGTGATGCAATTGTTAGAATCGCGCAGCGGAATGTTCGCGTGGTCGGACAAAAACCAAGAGGGGGGGTGAATTGGTTTCTTAATGAAAATTAGGTTTTCAAAATTTTCCCCAAATTTTACCGATTAAAAACTGCGTAAATGTAAATAGAGAAGAGTAGAGAAGATTACACAGTAGGTTTATACTGGTTCGGATCAAAAGACCCTACGTCCAGTTGCTAATCACTCAAAAGAGGATTAACGCTGTCACTAAGAACAAATTGTTACAAACAGATTATAAATGAAAAGATAAAGATACGAAAACACCTCTCTTGAAATCCACAAGAGATGATGAACAGCTTTCCCCAGAGACGGCACAACACACAATCCACTAAGAACTCCACTTAGTGATTCTTATCGCTTCTAGCCTCACACCAGGTTTCCAAAAGCCCCCTTTCCTTGCAACAAACAGTTCTCTGGCACTCACAGCACTTAACTTTTGTATGGAAAGAGTTGTTCTTCTTTTCTGAGTGCCAAAGCAGAGTTTAAGTAGGGAAATTAGGGTTTAGGAATTGGGGATTTCGAAACTAGGGTTCTTGGTAATTGGGTTTTCGAAAATAGGGTTAATTTGAAATTTAAATTGAAAATCAGACTGAAATAATCGATTATTTGGAGTGATAATCGATTAAAACAGAGCCAAATACGTCAGAACCCAAACCTCTCTGGAATAATCGATTATTTGGTGAAATAATCGATTATCTGTACGGAACTGTAC